AGCTCCTCTGATGTTGCTTGGCCTGCTGTGTTCATCCAGCTCTACACCTTGTTATCTAATATTTTGTCACAGTTTTGATTTCAGTTCCCAGCATTCTTCTGAGGGCATGCTCTAAATTAATTATCAAATCACTGTTTCTAGTTTGGATGAAAGCAAATCTAGCTTTTCGAATTATTCGCACTTACCAAAGCAAGTTAAATGTTCTTCTTGGTTGAGTGATTTAAGCCCTTCTTCAAAGCCTGGCGTGTGACTTCCTTTCCCAATTTGTAGTCTGCCTACGGACTGAACACAGAAACCTTGATACTTGGCTTGCTTGTTATGTATGGTATTGCAAGAGACACTTACCATAGGCGTGGTAGGTCATGGGTAAACTAACAATGGCAAGAACACACTGTTGATTATTTAAAGAAAAATATTAGAGTGTACATGACAGCAACTCTGAAAACTATTGCTTTCTGCATTGCATAGTTGATCAGGTGTGAGCAGACAATATTGACAGATCATCCTACGGCATGACTGGATGACATCAGAAAGTTAGTTGGAGTGTAACGTTCCAGAAACTGTGTTTTGTCTTCCCCTGAAGTCTTCCTGGTGTGATTGTTAATAATTCACCTGGCATAGCCACTTTCTGCACTCATTCTGTCCCAGCTGGAGACCAATATTGTTTAGCTTCAAAAACAAGTCTAGTTTCATCATCTCAGCTAAAATTTAAACAAATCAAATATTTGCACAACTTAATGACACTGATTTCGGAACCATATTCCCTGTGATAGGTCATGGACAGAGCTGGGCACGATTGACTGGAATGAGAGGTTGGCAGAGGAAACAGTAACTGTGCCTTCAAAGGGAAGATTGTTTAAATAGTCAAGGTATATTCCCACAAACAGGGAAGGTAGAACAAACAAGTCCAGAGCTCCTTGGATGAGAAAGGAGATAGAAATTAAGACAAGGAAGAAAAATTGTGCTTATGACAGGTTGAAAATAAAATTGAAAACTGAGACAAATATTGAAGGCTCAGAGAGGAGGTGAAAAAGTAATTGAGATAATAATGTGCCACAAAGTCTTGTATAGCCATTTGAATAGTAAACAGTTGTAAAAGAAGTAGGACTTAATAGAGCCCAAAATGGAGATCCACACCTGGAGGCAAGGGGCTGAGGTGTTAAGTGAGTACTTTTTTAAATGTGTTTGTGGGGTGAAAGTGTTGTTGGCTAGACCAAAATTTATTGCCCAGCCCAAATTGAACAGATGGCATTTCAGAGTCAATCATATTGCTGCATGTCTGGATGAGTCCTCATCCAGGTAAGGTTGGCAGATTTCCTTCTCTAAGTGAACCACTTGGGTTGTTATGACAATCAGCATTAGTCAGCCGTTAGGTCAGCCCTCTATCCTGCATTTCATTGAAATCAGATTTCACCATCTGCCATGAACCTGTGGCCCCAGAATATTGGCCTGTGGTTCTGGATTGCTAGTCCAGTGACATTACCACTGTGCCACTGTCTCCCGGTGTCACATTGATTCAAACTGTTTAAAACAGTGTAATATGTGATGAACAGTGAAGTCAGAATATATTGCAAGTAACAGTAACGAGCTGCCATTCGTAGGCTTTCTAGTAAAACACATTTTCTAACTCTGCTTGTGTTATGCTAGTTCTTTTGATGTCATCAATCAGTTATTATTGAAGCTCTGTTATTGCTCATTTTGTGCCAGATGAGATTGGACCTCAAGTTGCACATTTGCTGGGTTAAAATGGGAGCAATCAATGTAATTCAAAGGTTGGGGAGCACACCTCCTACAACGGAGCTACATTGGAAACCCACCCGGTGTGGTATTGGTTTGGACATTATAGAGACAGCCCTTAAATATGTAAACAACGAACTGAAAGCTTAGAACACAAACCAGAAATTGAATTTCTCTGAATTTAAATTACCGGTAGTCAGAATTGCCTCTTGTACATGTCATTTTTGACTTGAAAACAAAACCTTAATATGGAACTAAGGGGAGCGAGAATTTCTCTTCAAGCTCCGTATTTAATCTAGCCACCACTTCGATCCCCGTTCCCTCAAAGTGCATTATATTGAGGAAACCAGGGGAACGACCTTCCTAGGAATGAGATCAGCCACGTGGTGGGGCCCTCGAGATAAATCTAGTTGATAGTGAGCATAAAGGGCAACTCTGACAGAGTGGTAATGCTCCTCGGGTTTTAATTCGGAGGCCCGGGTTAATGCTGTCAAGACATGAGTTAACTCCCAACATAGCATCTGAGAGAATTTAAATTCAATTACTATGTCTGGATTAAAACACTAGTTTCAGGAATGGTTACCGTGAAACCCAGCTGGATTATGCATGTCCTTCAGGGGAGGAAATCTGAGATCTATGCTCAGTCTTGGCTTATTTGTGATTCCAGACCTGGAACGGTTAACTCCTAACTGCATCAGAAATGGCCCAGCAAACCATTTAGTTCACAGGCAATAAATGCTGGCTTTCTCATCAACGTTTACAGAAAAGAACAAATAAATGTTCACAGAGACTTGGAAATCTATAGATGCAATACGTGTGTTAGAAGCATTATGGGAAAAGTTATTAAAATGGCATTGGCTGGACCAATGCACAGCACCTATTTACATTTTTGTATTGTTGTAGATGGTCTGTAGACAAACATAGTGAAAACATGATTGTTGCCATCAGTTTACAACTTTAATATTAAGAAAATTCAGCAGTTGTTGATCAGATTTGAATACCTTTGAATAATTGTACTTTTATGTTATTTCAGAGTAACCGCATCAAAACCTCAAAGTACAACGTTATCACATTTCTGCCTATCAACTTGTTTGAGCAGTTCCAACGAGTTGCCAATGCATATTTTCTGTTCCTGCTGCTTTTACAGGTTTGTGATTTTAAAATACAGCACACGAGAACCGGAGTGGAACACATTTGCAATTGAAATCATGTGACTGCAATTACACATAGCCTACAGCCTAACTGACACTTCTTTGGCAGTGGAGTACTCAATAACATTTGCATTAAATATTAGAAGAGAAATATTTTCATCTAATGAAACAAGCTCATGGCTGCTGCTAAAATCAATCTCAGTGATTTCTAGCCTTTTTTTTAGTATGTTCAAATTATTCGTAAAACTTATTATGTGTCATGTCATATTTGACAAAAAGCACAACTTACAGTCTGATTTAAGAAATTAGCAAGGCCACCCCCCTTGTGAAATAGCGACCCAATATCTGAGGTGATTGGTTACCATCAGAACATTATCTTATAGTACCACATCTGCCATCAGTTGGCACTTGCCATTGAAGCTGCACTCTTTCCACTGTTGGTCTTGAGATTTATCAATTGAATGGCAATATAACGTTATCTTGAAGCAGTTCGACTAAAGAAAAGGGAATGCACCATTTCTATTGTCTACAATACTAGTTTTCCCCATTTTTTGCAGCTGTCCCTGTGGAGCAACCTGTGTAGTGAGGGTGCGGCGACCAGGTACTCAAGGGGGTAGAAATAACAGTGGAGGGGGTGGGATGTGAATTATTAGCAACAGTCTTAAGTGGCTCCTTTTCAGGGGTGTGCCATCCACACACAATTAACATCCAGGACTCAGCATTGGTTTTAGTGTACCTTTATTTATTCAACGCTCAATGTCATCAGCTGCGATGACTTTCCAAATTTGAACATGGCTTTGAATTTAACACAATGTTGAAATTAAAATGCTTCAAATTAAAAGGACAAATTTAACACAATATATTTTTGGAAGTGGATTCACAGTTAAGTCTGGATTTTTTTTAATCTTTCATAAAGTTTAAAAATTTACAAGCTTTTGTTCAGTTCAACTTTTATTTTGTCAGTTTTCATTTTCCCTTCTGTTTGATTGTAATCACTTTTATGTGCTAAATTTCAACCTTGTCTTGTTGGCTTGAAGTCACTTCAAATTATTAAATATGTGATTTATCCGGTATAAGTCTTTGAATGAGCTGAAATGGATTGTTTTATTTGATGTACAGCACAGGTTGAATGGCCTCTTTTTTTTTCTAACTTAGCCATGCTCATGTTTGTGCTTCACTTGAGCTTATTTAAGGGCATCATTCCTGTTAATTCAGTCTCTTAGTTCAGATTGCTCGATAATTCAGTTGTTTTACTTAAAATCTGTTTTTGTAATTACATTGCTTAATTCCTGTCTCTGGATCACTTTATTTATTATGTAACAAATGAATCACCAGGTGCAAATTGAGCTAAATCCCATGAGTGTACACTTGTGAATTGTTTATCTTGATTCTAATTGGGTTTGTCTTGTTTTTTTTTCAGCTGATTCCTCATATTTCTTCACTGTCCTGGTTTACCACTATAGTGCCTTTAGTGCTGGTGTTAACCATCACTGCAGTCAAAGATGCTACAGATGATTTTGTAAGTACTTAATTCATTTTGAGTGAAGTCAGGTGCAATTGCAGTAGTTCATATTTGCAGGTGCAGTCCTTCAGAGTTTAGAGGCACCGAGTGAAATGCTATATAACAGTATTGGTGCTGATTTTACTCCTTTGCTCTTGCTCCAAGTTAATCGGTGGCATGTGAGATGGTTTGTTGATATAAGACATCGTATGTTCATTTACGTTTGGGCTCCTTTTGTTAGTACCACTTCATTCAAGTCAACTTTGACCCTCAAGTGGATTTGCCATCAGTCTGTAACTTCACAATGCGCCATGCTTGAATTGCTGTTGGTATACAAATGGCAACAGCCTTTGGCCTTGCACAATGTAAATGAGGAAGAATCAAACCATAAGCAAGGTTTTTGGTTTAGCAAGGTCAAAGTTATGTTTTCCAATCCACTTTTGAAGAATTTGTTAATTTATGGTATTAGATGGAGGTGGCTAACCTTTCTGAGCTCAACAGCCAGGAAGAAAAAAATTATGTTAAAAAGCCCAGTGTATGGGCCAATTTGCATTTTATCTTAGGTTCTGAGAAAACAGAATGTGGGATTGATTTACAAAGAGGCTGGTGTCATTTTGAAGCTCCAGCTCCAATTTGACAAACAAGCATGAATCTCCAAGTACACATCTTGTTGCATATGGTCACGTTATGATCTAAAACACAACATTCGTGACAGTCTGTATTCAGTTCCATCATGCATGGAAAGCAGAGTCCCAATATATCTCTGGACATTGATCACTATATTGTATGGGCCTGTAGCTTAAACAGACTGGCACTTCAGCCAAATTCCAGTTAACCTCATATGAACCCTTTGAAATCTCCCCCCATTGCCATTGGCTGTAGAAATTTGGTAATGGTTGTGGAACATGAGGGGGGAAAAGGGATGTTAGGAAATTAAATAGAATGAATTTGTTCATTTGAGGTGATGAACTGACTGCGCTCAGTTATGGAAATTGTGGAAGTGGTTGAGCTGCTTGCAGGAAAATAGCTGACTTCAATTAATTCAGCAAAGGCCTTGGGATTAAAATAAAGTAATGGGGCACTTTTGAACAAAAGATCCCCTTACTTAAGAAGAAGAACATTTATTCACACAAAAACAGTCAGTGGAAAGATAAAATCATTCTGTTTTGCTTTTCAGTTTCGCTACAAGAGTGATAATCAGGTCAACAACCGACACTCTCAGGTGCTCATCGATGGCAAGTAAGTGCTTTATAAATTTTCAATTTGGAAAGATGATAATGGACTGAATGGTCTCTCCCTACCATGAGGTTTCTGTGATGGGTTTATATTTCCAAAGCAGTTGCTGCATACACTTGATTTAAAAATTGAAATGTAAAGTTAACTTGTTTGCTTAACATTCTGCCTTTCTATTTGGCTATTGTGACAATTAATAATTTTATTTGAAGAATATGAATGTAACAAAAAAGCTTGAGCTACAATTAGCAGCACACTGGTTAATCTTTGAATAGACTTGTGTTTGAGTGCAATTATATGTTTGTAAGGATATATTGATAAGGCTATAAATAGGCTCTCATATCCTGCTATTAAAGAATTTTGTTGGCATATGGCAACCAATAATTACAAGTATTGCGGAGAACTGTCAACCAGTGCCAAATGACCCAATACTCTACCTCCTGCAGATGCCACTTTACCCAGATCTTAGTGCTGATTGCCAGCCCTGGATCGGGTCCCAAGCTGTGCTCAAATTCCAACCCGTTGAATTGAATGGAGCTATTTCCTGATGCAAATGAAGCTACCCTATGACTAACGTTAATGGAGCAACTTGAATGGGAACAAGTTTGGAATCTTCAGCTCTCAGGTGGCCCAGTGTCTCCGTGGTTAGCATTGCTGCCTCACAGCGCCAGGGACCTGGGTTCAATTCCAGCCTTGGGTGACTGTCTATGTAGAGTTTGCACGTTCTCCCTGTTTGTGCGAGGGTTTCCTCCGGGTGCTCTGGTTTCCTTCCACAGTCCAAAGATGTGCAGCCAAGTTGGATTGGCCATGCTAAAGTGCCCAAAGTGCCCAGCCATGTGTAGCTTAAGTGGATTAGCCATGGGAGATGCAAGGTTACGGGGAGGGGGCGTGAGTTTGGGTGGGATGCTTTTTGGAGAGTTGGTGTGGACTTGTTGGGCCAAATGGCCTGTTTCCACACTCTAGGGATTCTATGAAATGCAGTGACCCTCAGGTTAAACCATTCCCAGTTCTCGCTCTCTCTCTGTCTCTATCAAGAAGGAAGTTAGACAATGTAAGCAGATACATGACCGTATTACTTCTATGTGGACATTGGTAACGTTAAAAAGCAGACTAATTAGTTAATTGGGCGATTTGGTGGTAGGCTTTTCAAAACTAAAAAAGGTGAATTTCCTCTGGTCAGGGGAATTGGTTAGGAATGGGAGAGAGGAGACTGGAGTTTGTATTGAATGATGAAATGCAAGTAAGAAGTTATACAAAAAAATTGACTCCTTTATATTTGAAAGCAAACTAGTATCATGGACTGACTCTCAGATTCCTTCATCTTTGATCTGTTAATGTACTTTTCCCCCTTAAAGCATGTTTTTGTACATTGACATTTATAAGGCTACTGAGAGGTGCCCAATAACCCATGTGTATTCAGCTCTAGCTACGAGCAAGATCTAGAAAGTTGGTATAATAAAGGGCAGTCCATGTTTTCCACACAAGTGAAATGAAGGGAATTTGTTCAGTGGTCATATTGATACTGTAAACCTTTGAGGTAAGTTTTAGTTTGCTTGGGTGCTTGCTGAAGTGAGATAAACATCAGTTCTTTTACATCATCAATCACCAAGTTACTTCACTTTTAGAATAATGTGCTCTGTTGACTCCTGACTTCCTGTTTTCTATCCTGGCAGTTTTATTCTTGTTCCCTAAAATACATTTCAAGTAATTTTAATGTTATTGAGTGTTTTTTAAAGGAAGGTGGATGAGGGGAACACAATCTGTAGCATGTGTTTAGCACTTACAAGAAAACACAAAAACTAGGTGATTTAGTCCAACTGGCCTATGCCAGTTTTCTGCTATACACAAGTCTCCTTGCTAACAATGTGGCAAATGATGGTCCTTTTAAGAATGAACCAGGACAGGTTCTGGTGGTAATAGAGAGCTGCTGATGTTCACTGGAGCCTATCTTTCGTTTGTCACAGGGTGATGGTGTAGTGGTGAGGCTAGAAAATCCTGGGTTGTTTTCTCTGGAGCAGTGGAGGCTGAGGGGAGACTTGAAAGACGTCTATAAAATTATGAGATGCATAGACAGAGTTGACGGTCTGAATCTTTTTCCCAGAGTTGAAATGTCTAATAGCAGGGGGCATGCATTTAAGATGAGAGGGAGAAAGTTCGAGGGAGATGTGAGGGTCGTTTTTTTTAACACAGAGTGGTAGGAGCCTGGAATGTGCTGCCAGGGGTGGTGCTGGAGGAAGACACGATAGGGGCATTTAAGAGACTTTTAGATAAGCACATGAATATGCAAGGAATGGAAGACCAAGGGCAGGCAGGAGGGATCAGTTTAATTTGGCGTCATGTTCGGCAAAACATCATGAGCTGAAGGGCCCATTCCTGGACTGTACTATTCTGCTCTAACTGGTGGCTTCTCTATTGTGAGCTCAATTCCAGCCTTCACTGTTGTCTATTTACATTCGGGTCTTGTGGTGTAGTGGTAATGTTCCTACCTCTGGGCCAGTCAGTCTGGGTTAAAGTCCACCTTCCCTGGAAATGGGTTCTAATGAGACCAAACAGGTTGATTATAAAGGGCTTGGTTCTTCACCACAAGAGGTGGAGTGCTTTATCTCCCTTTCCAACTCGATTGTGATTTCTTTCCTCTCTCTCTACTTATCCATTACCTTTGGTGCTGTCGCATTGCCCATATTAGACTTTGCACATAAATTGCTTAATTAGAAACATGGAATATTAATTGGTAGTGAATAGTACAAAAACAAAGGGCTAGGTTCCTCCTGTGGTGGCTGGAGTGGATTATCTTTCCCTTCGACACTATTTTGATTAAATTTACTGCTTTGTCATCCACATCTTTCTGTTTCTTGTTAGAGGGGCAGTGCTTCTAATTTGCTATTCAGATAACTATGTAATTGAGTGATCTGATGGTGGGATTTTCAATGCCTAAAATAAAGGGCTGGTTTCCCCATTTGGGAGAGGCGGACAGGAAGAGGAGAGAGCAGACTGAAATTACAAAATGCAAACAAAGACTTATGGAAGACAGACTAACTCTTGCTTCTTGTCTTCAGAAAATGGATGACTAGCAAGACAACTTTCTCAGCCCTCTCCATCTAACCCTATCAGCACATTTTTCTCTCCTTTTTTAGCCCCATGTACATGGGGGAGGCAGTGGCTTAGTGACTGTTAATCCAGAGATCCAGATAACATTCTGGGGACCTGGGTTCAAATCCAGCCACGGCAGATAGTGGAATTTAAATTTAATAAAATTTATTTAATGAGCGACCCCCTCATCCCATGAATGAATAAAGGAAAAAAAATAATGTCTTTGTTCCCCTTAAATGCATTATATTTAATATTCAATAGGACTCCAAGAATCATCTTCATTCCCAGAAAGGACTTGAAATGTCATGATTGAATTGAAGTTTTCAAAAAGAATACAGCTTTAAATATTGTGTAATTTTACATATTGTGGCAATCTAACCATTGCTACCAAAAATGCATTTCAAGGAATTTTTAAAAAATTGTTCTTAGTTTTTAATTAAAGGGGGAAAGGTAGTTGAAGGAGAAAATGTTACAACCAAAAGAATCATAGAAATTATGACACAAAAGGTAACCGTTCAGCTGATTGTAGGTATGTCATCTACTTTAATCTCATTTCCCCATACTCTGGGGGACAATTGAGGGTGTAGCATAGTTGCCTCACAGCACTAGGGCTCTGGGTTCGATTCCAGCCTCAGATGACATTCCCCCCCATGTCTGGATGGGTTTCCTCTAGGTGCACCTGTTTCCTCCCACAGTCCAAAGATATGCAGGCTAGGTGCATTAGCCATGGTAATTACAGGGTGGGGTGAGTCTGGGAAGTTCTGAGGAAGGGTCACTCGACCCGAAACATTAACTCTGATTTCTGTCCACAGGTGGCTGCCAGACCTGCTGAGCTTTGCTAGCAATTTCTGTTGTTGTTGTCATTTCAATGTCCATTTCTCACCACGCCCTGATCTTGTTTCCTCTCGATTAGATCTTTCCTGCATTTCTCTCTCTCTTCCCCCATCTCGGCTCACCTTGATTAGACCTTTGATTTGATTTGATGTGCTTCTTTCAAGTTCTTGCAGCTTGGGTTTTACATCAAGTATCCCATGATTTCTGAATCAGAGATAGTAGGAACTGCAGATGCTGGAGAATCCGAGACAACAAGGTGCAGGGCTGGATGAACACAGCAGGCCAAGCAGCATCATAGGAGCAGAGAGGCTGACGTTTCGGGCCTAGACCCTTCATCAGAAAAGGGGGAGGGGAAGGGGGTTTTGAAATAAATAGGGAGAGAGTGGGAGG